CTTCTGTGGTCATACCTGGAAAGGAAGTGTTCACTGTGGAGAAGCTGTGTCCTGCTCTAAGTTACTCAACAAGACAGAAAACAGTGGCTTCCAGGCCACGCCTTGGCCTGGGTGACTCCATTTTACAAGCCAAATTTGGTACATTTTGAATGTGTACACAGAGGCAAATTGACTCTGTTCCTCATTGTGCACACTGTGCACAGACACTTCTATTTGTCCAGCACCATGCATGGGTAGCACTCTTTAGAGTAAAAAAGCACCTCTATAAACGTATCGGACTAGAAGCATAAGACTATATTGGCATATTAAACCTTATCAGACAAAGACAAGCCAAAACTTTACCAAAGACATCAGTCTGAGGAAGAGTGTTACACCTTTATCTGGGCATCCTAACACTGAGCAACAGCTCAACAACCTGTCATCTCACCACCAGTGTGTGTATAAAGGGTCCCACAGGCAAAGAAATCATGACTGTCTCTGAGGATTAAGTCCCCACTGATGATATGGCCCACTCAAATTATCGGCTGCCCACCTGTCTGCCCAGATCTAGCCCCACACCTCACCTCAATTGCCTCCCTGGGTCCACACAGCACCTCTGCAGCTCAACACAACCCTGAGGCCTGGGATCAACTCTGACCCTGCAGCCCTGCTTTGTTTGGCTCCTGCAGTTCTCCATCTGCTTAAGCCTCCACCTCAGCCTGCAGGAAGGCCTCTGTGAACTGCCTGAACTCCCTCACCTTCTTTACATTTTTTTACATTTTGTAATGATATGTGTGTTAGTGTAAGTTCCAGAATCACTGCATACTATACAGTGTGATTTGAGGGGATTGAGATTGAGATTGTGATTTGAGATTATGAACTAAGATTGGGATCAAAAAACCTGGGTTTGCAATAGCTAGCTCAAGACAAATATGACTTTACAAATTAGAGGCAACAAAACTTGTGAATCTATTTTTCTTTCTTCTTGATTTTCTGTTTGTTTGTTTGTTTTTGAGAGAAAGCGTCACCGTACCACCTGCAGGCTTTGAAGAGCTATCAACAATGGCCTTGAATTTCTGCTACTCCTGACTCCACCTCCAGAATTCCGGAATTACCACACCCAATTATGCAGTCCTGAAAGTCTAACCCAGAGTTTGTAGACTGTAGGCAAATAAACACTCTAACAACAAAGTAATATGCCAATGCACTCCCTAATAATAAATAAATAAATTCTAACAAACATTATATGTATGAGCATAACGTACTCATGACATCATTTATTAAGAGCCGGGCATGGTAACTCACGTCTTTAATCCCAGCACGTATAGATAAGAGGAAATATAAACTGAACATCCAAAGCCTGGCAGTGGTAGCACACACCTTTAATCCCAGCACTTGGAATGGAGGCCTGCCTGGTCTACAAAAGCTAGCTCCAGGACAGGCTCCAAAGCTACAGAGAAACCCTGTCTCAAAAAACAAACAAACAAACAAAAAATCCAATAATAAAGAATATTTATAGAAGAACAAAAAAATCGATTCTAACAAAACTGTACTGGTACCTTAAGCTGGATGTAACTGTTTTGAAAAGGAGTCTATAAGTATGAAAAGCCTGAAAATATGCAATACTGTTGGTATTGCTTCTCCAGAAACTACATATGACCTAGTCTACACAGGCAGTTAACAGTATCACAGATACACCTCTAAGGAGAACTGAGAAATCCAGTGTTCTCTAGGATCTTCCATATTTGAACTTAGTTATTAAATACTAGGCACTGAAAAGAGATTTTATTTGACCATTTCTGAGACCAAGATGAATGCTAATCCACTAGTCATCAAGACCAGAAGGGGATCTCAAAATAAAACATTATTATTTTTTTTTAACTTCAGGGACTTTCTAGGTATTAATTTATGGTATAAATCTTGACCTTGGATCTCTCGTATATATTTATTATATATTACATTATACATTATATTATATTTATATTATATGTAGTATGCACATGGATATATATAATATAATGTATATATACAATGCACATATATGTATATTATACACATTTTTAAATTTTCCTATGTCACTTGTGATGACATGCTTTTTAATTAAACAATTTAGAAAAGTATCATGTGTCTTGTTTAATCTTTCCAAAGCAGTGTAGGAGAAGAAATCATCTATCTGATAATAAAATATTTCTTAACAGAAGAAATTCAGTCTATAAGCTACTGCAATTGATAATAAAGAATCATGCTGTTAGCTGGCCATAGTGGCTCATGACTGTAATCCTAGCTCTTCAGAGAGGCATGGGCGGGAGGATCGCTGCAAGCTTAAGGCCAGCCTGGCCTACATAAAGGGTTGTAGGCCAACCAGGAACATAAGATGAGAAGCTCTCATTTTAAAAGATAAAACACAGTATTTTGTGTATTTAGTGTCATGACATTGAGATTGCAATGCTTCCTTGAATGAGTTCCAAACAAATTTAAATTCATCTCTGAACCAGTAATTCTACTTCCAAGCACACCTTCTGCCTAAATTTTAAACAGAAAAAGCTTAGTCTTTCTTAGGTCGGTTTATGTTGTTGATGATAATTTGTTTTGTTTTGTGAGACTGGGTGCAACCAAGGCTAACCTAAATGTCCTGCTCCTCCTCCCTCCACTCCCAAGCTCTAGGATTTCCAGCATGTGACACCACTCCTGGGTAGCTTTACATATTTCATGCTATGCTTAATATATGATAATATGAAATTTTAAAAACATATGTGCAACCTAAGAGTTCAACAGAAAAGAATGGTTATAACTAACATTATTTGTGGTAAGTTGATTTTCAAGATGGATTCCTAAACCAGTTAGTGGGAAAAAGAAAGTCACCAAAGGTGATGAAAAGTATACAGCCAGAAGGCAAAATGTAAAGTTGCACTCCCCTCTGCTACTATACACCAAAATTAAGTACATCAAAAACAAGAGTCAAAACTACAAGAACTTTTAGAGTTACCAGAAGTTGTGCAGGGGTAATTATTTATGACTCTAGAATCATCAACATTTTTTGTTGTGGTGGTGGGTTTTGTTTGTTTGGTTTTAAAGACAGGGTCTTTCTATCTGAAACACTGTTATATAGCTCTGGCCTGTTAATAACAAGCACACATGTGGTACATGCATAATAATGATAAATCTGGTCAAACATTAGACATTTCTCCAAAACTGTATAAGAATCAAAAAGTACATGGAAAGATGATTAAAATTATTAACCAAAAAATAAAAACAACGAGATATTATTTCACTAGTACCACTAAGATGCATATAAGCTAAACAACAGATTTTTGCCGGGCATTAGAGAAGCAGGCCTTCATAATCTGTGGGACTGAATATGCTGTAGCCACTTTAGAAAGCATCTGCTCGGTTCTCAAAACACATGACCACACCCTAAAAATAATATCCACACAAAAAGTCAGAGGATGTGTAGCATTATTCCAAACAGCCCAAAATACAAACAATACAACTGCATATCCATAAAAAGGAATGAGTGAGTTATGTGTAAGTCAGTGGTAGAATTCTTACCTAGCATGCATGTGTGAGGTCCATCCCCAGAATAACAGGGGAAAATAAATAAATAAAAAGGAATAAACGTATTGTTGCATTGACATGGACAAACAGTGAAAACATTACCCTAGCTGAAAGAGACTAGACACAAAAGGGCACCTGTTACATGATTCTATTTACTTAAAATATACGAAACAGGAAGATGTACACTGAACCACGGATCAGAAGTTGGGGGAGGGGGAACCGTTGGAGGAGGGTTAACTATATTGGGTACAAGATTTCTGGTGAAGCTGATAAAAACGTTCTGAACTTGACGGCTAACTATAAAACTTTTGAAAACCTTAAACACAAAGAGAGAGAGACTTAACAATGTAAAAGAATGGACTTTGTACTGCCTTGGTTACACCTCAATACGAAAAAGGCATAACCAGGGCTGGAAAGATGGTTCAGCAGTAAAGAGCACTTGCTTCTCTGGCAGAGGATTTGAGTTATTCCTAGCACCACATGCTGGCTTATAACCATTCATAATTCCAGCTCCAGGAAACTGAATGCCCTCTTCTGGCCTCCATGGATATGCACGTGGTGCACAGACAGACATGATGCATGCAGTCACACATTAAAAAAAAAAACTAAAGAGAAAGCATAACCAATCTATCCATACTCCATGCAGTGAGTACAACATACACAAACTGCATTTTTTTAGTTTGATCTGTAGGCTCACACACTTGCAGGTCATAGCTTAAAACACCTAAGAAATGAGAAAGAACAAAATTCTTAGCGGTTATGCTAATCTCTAACTATTTCTGCAATTCCCAAACGTTTTCTAATAAGCACTGCTTTCTGAAGTCGTGGGAGCAAAACGGTTTATTTACAACAAACAGAAAGGGAAATTATTAAACGCCCAAGTGTGTAAGCTAAATGTCCTTAGCTTATTTTTCAAGGATCTTCGTCCAATGCCCCCTCCCCCAGTGAAGCTTTCTTTCCTCTCCCCCGCAGAATTAGGTTGAACTCGGAATCTCCATGCCTCTACTTCAAAACACCTCCAGCTACTGTTTTCGCCCGCCTCTCCAGCTGCCTCATCTACTCCGTCCTAGCCTCCGATGTCTCTGCCCTGGATGCTAACGTCCCTCGGGACTCTAACGGGCCTCTCAGACATTCCGGGAAGCTCTGGCCCCACCGCGACACCGGTATGTGGCACATCGCCGGTCCTGTGAGGACCCGGAGACCGCGAGTTCCCTGCAGCCTGTGACTGCACAGCGCGCGAAGCGCTACGAGAAAAGTCCGCAGCCAAGGAAACTGGAGGGCCCCACGCGTGACCGTGACTCGGGGCCTGGAACTCCGTGGGCCCCTGCCCCAGGACAGGCAGGTGGCGCCGTGGGCGCCGTCCCGTGCGGTCGGGAGAGGACGCCGCGCGGGCCTGCGGGGCCACACGGAGACCGAGGCTCGGCAGCGGCGGCGACGCGGACAGCGTGAGAACGAGGGACACTCACCCGCGTCAGCGCAGAGCACTCCTTACACCGGAAGTAATCGCTCGCCCGTTGCCAGGGTGAGGAAGCGGGAGTGGCCTGCAGCCTTTCCATTGGCTGAGGGTACACACGAGGCCGGAAGCAGACGCCCTGTGTCTCTAAGCCCGTGTCTCTGCCATCTATCCGGTAACGGGTTCGTTGGCTACAGAGCAGAGACACACAGGTCTGTCTGCGGCTTCTGATATGTTTTTTCTTCATTTATTTTTTGACATATTTGGGTTTGTTTATTGTCGTAGCTGTGCAGTCACCGTTACCCATCTCGCCTTCACTTTGCCCTGTAATTAACTTGCACGGTGTGTCTGCCGCTTACCCACGTGGTGAGCTGACTAGCGCAGTTGCACGAAATGGAAATAGTGGCCATCACTGATTAAGGCGTTGCTGAAGAACCCTTCTTCCCCCATCCTTGCAACGCGACTCCTGTGGAAAACAAGGATTCTATCTGGGAGTCAGCTTTACTCTAGGAAGAAGGAAAATGTAGTTGTCATGCCCAAATCCACGAAGTCCCCCAAAAAACCAACAAGGAGACCGAGTCCCATATATAAAGCAAAGAGCCTTTATTTTATGCAAGTTTGCAAACTCGGTCTCTGCTCATGTCCAATGTATTGGAATAAAGGGAGAGCCCCTAGCTCAGTTAGAGTTCAGTTTTTATAGTAGTAAAGGTGGGGGTGAGCAGTTTCTGAGGTTCAGGACCCCTGATTGGCTGACATTTGTCTAGAGGTGTCCTGGTGAGTGTGTGCTGACAGGTGATCCTGTCTATAGCGGTTGGAATTTGGAACGTTAGGCATTTCCTTTGGATGGGCTGTTCTTGGGTGTTGCTCAGGTAATCTTAGTTTATGGTCCTTCCTGCAACCAGGTATTGCTTCAGGGTAAACTACCGAAACTCGGGCCTCCATTAAACTTATCCATGACCCAGTCCTACTCTGGCAGGTGATAGTGGTTGAAAATAAAGAACTTCTTTTGGGTGGTCTATTTTTATTTAGCTTATCATGGCTGGCTCTTACAGTAGATAACCTTATTTTACTGTCCAAGATCAAAGATCAAAACCCAGTAGCAATTACATACAGTTTCCTTGTAGCTAGTATCACGTATCCTTTAACAGATAGCCTACTTGGAAAGAATAGAATAGTGCAAGTTAAGTATCTCTCATCTGAAATACTTGGGATGAAAAACATTTGGGATTTTTAAATGTTTTCCAAAGTTTGAGATACTTGCTTATACATAAGACGTCCTGGGTATGGGACCCTAGTTGCAAAAGTAAATACTCAGTTGTATTTCATACAGACCTTATACACAGAGCCTAAAGTTAATTTTGTAAAGCATTTTTAAATAACGTGCATAGTGTAGAAGCAGTTGAGGCTGTGGATTTTTAGATTAGAGATGCTTGGCATGTACTTTTTCCTATGTGAGGTCCCAAACCAGCAATTTAGGAGCAACAGAGCTCCTGCTAAGAATGCAAATCTTTAAAACCCACCTAAATCAATCTTTTAACAAGCCTTCTAGGTAATTCTAATGCCTAAAGCTTGAGAGTCACTTTGCTATGGGACTTCTTGACTGACTCTTAGAGGTGGAGAAGGGAGGTAAGACCATCACTCAGAAGAGGAGAGTAACCAATATGTGGGGTATTAGAGTGATCAGAACAAGATGCAGGCTGGGTACAGTAGTTCATTCCTTTAATCCCAGCACTCAACCAGCCTGATCTGCACAGGGAGGTCCAAGAGAGCCAGGGCTGCTACTCAGAGAAACCCTGTCAAAAAAACAAAAAAGGAAGGAAAAGAAAGAGAGATGCAGGAAGGCAGTCTGGGGCTAAGATGAGACCAAGTCTTGATTTCTACCCTGAGATTCCTAGATTAAAATATGTGAATTGTAAAGAAAAGATTTCTTTTCAGCTGCTGGTTACCCCAGATATATAATTAATAATTTTTATATGTCCAGGATATCTTTTATTTTTGGTTGTGAACCTAGCCTTTTAATGGCTGAGCCATCTCTCCAGCCCAGTCCAGGATATCTTTCTGTAATATTTTCTTCCATGGGAAGAAATTTAGAGACAGTTGTGAAATTTATGAGTTTAAGCAAAACCTTAGATTTGAAAGGGAATGTAGAGACCAGTATTAAAATGAGTGGGTTGGATAAGGGAGGAAAAGTGTTTAATAGTTAGGTCAGTGAATAGTAACAATACTGTATAAGTTAACAGCAAAGATTCTAGAAACAAAATTGGTGTTTATATCTTTGTTCTACTACTTAACTGTAACAATGAACAACTTGATTAATCCTTCCATTACTTAATTTCCACACTTGTAAAATGAGGACAAAAATAGTTGTGTGAAATAAATAAATATGTGAGAAGCGCTTTAAAAAGTGTCAGCCTCGTAGTCAGTAATCTATCAATGCTAATTGTTTATTTCTTCATTTTGGAGACAAAATCTTACAGTATAGTCCCCTTCCCAAGTGTTGGGATTACATGTGCCACCATGCCTGATTTAGTAGATGTGAAAATTTGTAAATAGTCTTTTTATTTTAACATTGTGTGTGTGTGTGTGTGTGTGTGTGTGTGTATTCACCCATGCCTACACAAGCACAGGCAGTGATGGGAGCATGCATGCCACAGCATGTTCATGTATTAATGAGATGGTAACTTGTGGAAATTCCATCTCTGTTTCTACTGTGTGGGTCCCAGGGGTCAAGCTTCTCAAGCCTGCAGCAACCACCTTTACCTACGAGCTATCTCACCAACCTCCGTAAACAGTAATTTTTAAAGAAAAAAAAAAGCTTTAGCTGGAAAGATGGCTCAGCAATTAAGAGCGCTGACTGCCTTGGACGCTCGGTGGCACATGCCTTTAGTCCCAGCACTCAGGAGGCAGAGGCGGGCGGATCTCTATGAGGCAGCAATTCACCAAGTTTGGTTCAGGGTTCATAGAAATCCCAGATCATTTCAATGGTGAGATGTTTACTAATTTTAAAGTGGTTATGATAGCATATATTTATTTACATTTCTCATTCAAGTGTAAAATGTTCCTAGAGGGGTCTGGCGTTAGCCTGTGTGGACATGATATACACATGCCATGGTCCTCGGTGGTAGTCAGAGTAACTTTGTAGGGCTGGTTTTATTTTTCCACAGTTATGTGGATTCCTGGGATTTAACTCACATCTTGGGGCTTGACCGCAAGCACTTTTAGCCATTTTGCAGCCTGTTTTTTTGGTTGGTTGGTTGGTTGTTTAGTTGGTTGGTTTGGGGTTTGTTTTGATACGTTTCACAACATAACCCAGGATGACCTCAACCTCCCAATCATATTTCCTCCCAAGTGCTGGGATTGCAACTATTCACCAGTCACCAAGAGATTATTTGAAATATTAAAAATGAACAGTTGTCCATGTTATGAACTTGCTCAAAATAGTAAATACAGAAGGTTCTTATTAGCAAATATTTTTCAGGAAAAAAATCCAATTACCTCTGTCTTAGTCTCTGTTCTATTGCTGCGACATCATGACAATGAAAACTATTACTTTAAAAACAGCATTTTTGTTTTGTTTTATTTTGCTTTGGTTTTTTTTGTTTGTTTGTTTGGTTTTTTGAGACAGTTTCTTTGTGTAGCCCTGGCTGTCCTGGAACTCACTCTGTAGACTAGGCTGGTCTCCAACTTACAAAGATCTGCCTACCCCTACTTCCCAAGAGTTGGGATTAAAGGCATGCACCACCACTACCCAGCTCAAAGAAAACATTTAATTGGGACTTGCTTTGCATTTTTCGAGTTTCAGTTCATTATCATCATTGCAGGAAGCTTGGAAGTACATAGGCAGACTTGGTGCGAAATAGCTGAGTTCTACAACTGGATCTGTAGGCAGTAGGAAAAGAAAGACACTAGGTCTGGCTTGAGTTTTGGAAACCCCAAGTCAGACTCCTATCAGTCAACACCCTCTCCAACAAGGTCACACCTCCTAATCCCTCTCAAGTGTCACCACTCCCTAATGATCAAGTATTCAAATATGTAAACCTATGGATGCCATTCCTTTTCAAACCATCACAGTTTCCCTCTTCTTGTTTGCACCTCTTCCAAACCCCAAGCAGGAGCCAGCTGAAGTTCTTGTGCTCATCTCCTCTCACCCTAGGTAGCTCCTCTGTTGGGTTTCTCTGGGAGCCTCCCTGCATTCATTATTCCTGAAAAGCACAATTTCATTTGTCATTCTTTATGGGCGAGGATTTGAAGAGTTTTATACAAATGCTACATCATTGTTTGTAACAGACCTAAGTGTTCTTAGATTGTGGTATGGGGGAGGCATCATCCTTAAGCAAGTGCCCACAGATGCCAAGGTGCTTCAGGAGTACCTTCTGCTCCTTCAGTCAATAGTCGCTGAAGTAGGAGCCCACAATGCTGAAGGAGCGCCTTCTGCTCCTTCAGCCAATAGCTGCTGAAAATACCAGCCCACTGGGGCGTGGTATATTTCTCTTTTAAAAAAAGAGCCGCAAGTCTCGGCTCGGCCTCTCTTGGTTCCGGCGCTTGTTTCCGGCTCCTGCTCCAGCGACTAGGCTCCTTTCCTGACGGTTTGTGTGTATGTAAGTTTTACCCCCCAAAATAAATACCCCTTTAAAACCTAACTGGTATGGGATTGATTCGCCAATACCAAGGGACTTCTCCTTTAACACTCACACATCAGTTCCTGATGGTACTATAGTGTATTTGTTTTTTGTTACTACATATTAAGTTACCACAAACTCAGTTGTGTGTTTCGTCTTTCACAGTCACGTGTCCAGGTCTCTGCTCAGGCCTCATTGGGCTTCAGTCAAGGTATCAGGCAGGGCTGCTGTCTCATCAAATGCTCAGTCTTGCTACAGGCATTTAGTAGACTGCTGTGGAATAATACTTTTCTACAGTCAGAATATGTATTGCTCTTATTGGTTTATACAAAACTGACAAGCCCATAGCTGGGCAGGAAGTTAGATGGGAAACCAAACTGAGAAAGATAGAAAGGAGGGCAGAGTCAGGAGAGATGCTAGCCACCCAGGAAGCAAGACATGCTAGAGGACAGGTAAAGTCACGAGCCATGT